TTAACTTATATAGTGTTATTTACAAATTCTTCTTTAATATAAATTGAGTGTGAAAAGTAACAGCAAAATATGAATAGACCACATGATGTGATACACTTGTGTTTTTAGGTTAGTGCTAAGATAACTTCACAGGCAGGGGCGCCTGGTTAAGTTGGTTAAGCGTTGGTTAAGCGACTGCCTTCGGCTCGGGTCATGATCCCGGAGTCCTGGGATCGAGTCCCACATCGGGCTCCCAGCTCAGGGGGGAGACTGCTTCTCCCTCATACCCTCTCCCCTCTCATACTGTTTCTCTCTCTCTCTCTCTCAAATAAATAAATAAAATCTAAAAAAAAAAAAAAGATAACTTCACAGGCATTTCTTACTTACCTGTTTATTCCCACAAAGGCACATACTAAATCATACTGAATATATGAGCAACTCATAATTTTCCCTCTAGAATGTTATGATACCTTTATTTAACTTTTAAAATTCTGAAATAAGGCCTGGTAAATGAGACTATGTTGAATATATGAAGATTTGATAATCTAGACCATATCTTTGTGTTTAATGTTTTTCTTATAAACTCTGAACATGCGGAGTGCTATATATAAAAAGTAGCTGAGAGTGTATTAAATGATACTATACTTATAGTGTGTCCATTTTCTCTTATGTGCCATGCATCCACTCTCAAACATGATGTTCCTTCTAATACATAAATATTTAATGTAACTAATTGAAATGTGATTAAAATGAGCAGGTAGGCCTAATAATTTGAATGAAGTGATAAGATTTATCTATATATAAACTTTCCTTTGCCCACATTCTTTTAAGGGATGATCTTCACTTTTAAATAGAGAAGTGGACTGTTGAAGATTGTGTGAACATGTAGATTTTTAAACTACTACTTGCCATCAGTAACCCTTCATTAATTACTGAAATGTTTGTTTCCATGTGTTAAAGAACATTTTATTACCTATAATTGTATTGCAGTCAGTAAGAAAAATAGAGGGATGTTGGATAACTTATCATTTTTCCTCTTCCTTCATTTTCTCTCCCCTGAGAGAGAGAGGCTTGTGTGTATCTTTATTTTGGGAAGGACAAAGAAGACAGAGTGAGGAGAGTCATAGGATGTTATTATTAGAAGAGATCTTCATTTTACAACTGAGGAAACAAGTATGGAGAGGTGAAATACCTACATAGTAAAAAGCCATGATACTTAGCATTTACTTTCTTTTCTGAAGGTTAAAAACTTTTGGGGTTGGAAGAACTAGATCCTGTTTCAGTCTCTGCACAAAATATTCTGCAGAATCGTTCATTTTTCTTTTTTACCTTTATCAATATTCAGGTAAATTGCAGTAAAATTAAATGCTAATCCTGGAAGATAGTGACCCAGCATTTCTAGAGTATTATATTTAATGTTATATTTTTCTTTAATTTAAAATATGTGCATGTCCATAGGAACCACACTGTGGTCTTCCCATTATGTTCAGGTAGGTTTTAGGTCACCTTCCCAAATATTTTCTTCCTTTGGAGGAAGTGTATTTTTTTATTATGCAGCATAGGCTACATTTCATTGCCATTTCTATTCTGAAGATAAAAAAAATGTAACACCAAGACGGTAAATAGTAAAATTATTTTATTTGCAGTCCTTAAGTCATCCACACATTTTTCATAAAACTTTTTATAAACATTTTTAACCACTATGGTTCTCCCAAGGAGAATTAACAGTAACAAATTATTTGATTTAAACCACAATCTGAATAATTTAAATAAGCTGGAATTAGTCAACATGTGATTGATATTCATAAATGAAAAGGTTGGCTGTCCTGTAGTAATCAATGCATAGCTACAGCTGGTTGAAGGGGACCAAATCCATTGAAGAGGCGATTTGGTTCCATTTTACCAGCTCTAGCAAAGCATTGCAGTGCTGCTAGTTTGGGATACAAAAGAGTTGAAATGCTTTTTATTTGTACAATTATGGTTATGGACTTTCTACAAATGTTAGATATTCTCATGTCAGTACTTCAGTCATTACATGTAAACTTTTCTATTTTAAAGGCACTTTTCCTACTATTTCCTTCTCGAACAGAGCCAGTCTTTGCCCTTTAACATTTTGTTGATGCATTAAGGAATTATCAGTGTACAGCTTTGCATAATTCTTAAATGTAGACAATAACCTGTTTTAAAACCAACAGCATTTGAAGGAACAAATAGACCTTGATGTATTTCAGAGTACTATTTTGTATTTATCTTTAGGCAGTGAACCAAGTAAGTATGCTAATAGGTTAGGGAAGAGTACTGGTAAGCTTTCTACCACTGCTCCTTTATTTAGTATTATACTTGAGAGCTAATAGCAAGTTCCTGATAGGGAGGGTGGAGGAATATGAGTGGCCTTAAGACAGTACCTCTGCCCTTTGGTTTATAAATAGATCACACGTGTATTCAGTGTATTGCTTGGACTTGTGTTGAAAGGAACTACCATGCATGCCAACTTTTTTCTTTGTTTTTGCTTATGTAGTGTTACTAATCATAGGTTAGTAATTTAACCCTTTTCAATGTCTATTTCCCTGACTGAGTTCTCCATCATTTTGGGTACAGATTGCCTAGTTAGTTCCATTATCAGCTTAATAATACATGGACTTGTGGTGCATAGCTATAATCAATGAATTTAATTTAAAAATCTACTACATGAGTAATACTTTAAAAGTCAGTACAGCAAATGTTTGTTGTAATTTGCATTTCAGTATCAGGGAAGGGATACCTCCTTAAATATACTTGCAAAAATAAAACTTTGAGATATTATAGTTTGCCTATAAAGTAAGTGCTTTCAGTGAAATACAGAGTAAAGAAAGTTACTGTTTTGAATTAGACTGGGAAAAGGTCAGCACTAATTCAGGCAGTATTCAAAAAGTTCTCATATTAAGTATATTCTGCATCTGTTGGTTCGTAAGTATCATGCTGCTGGTGAAATTAATGTAACTACAATTCTTTCCATATATTCTAATAGAAATGAAACAGGTGTTAAATTGCCTGGACTTAAGTGCTGAAGATAGCAATAAAACTGGCTTCTATTTTTACTAGTTATATGGGAGCTGTTTAGCAGATCCAGTTGCTCAAGTGTGCTTTTGGATGGCAGTTCAGTTTCATATACTGGCCATATCGGGGCAAGGAGAGGCCATGGAAAAAAAATAGTACAGCATTTGATAATGTCAGCATCTGTTATCCCTGTCAGAGAGACAGTTGAAATGTTTGAGTTACACCAGTGTCAGCAGATGCCCAGAGTTTACTATGTACTCAGTTAAAAATGAACAGCTGATCTAAGTGATGGATGTGACATTTTAGAATGACTGAAAAGCTCAGATATGTTCAGTTAAACTTGTAAGCACTAGAATCAGTATATAATCTTACTTTTTAAAATGAATAGCAGATGTTGTCATTTTATTTTCTGAGGATTATGTACTCTTAATATTATAGCAATGAGAATCTTTGTCACCAGGTTGTTTTAAAATAGTTACTAAAAACTTTCATGCCTAGAGAATAATGGATATAATTGTTCTACAATTTTATAATGCTCTATAATTTTAGAATGTTATAAAACATGAGTATAGTAATACCCTTTGAGTAGTTTTATAGAGGAACCTATACTTTTGAGATACATATTTTCAGTTATAACTGTAGTTGACCTTATAACCATTTCTGTTCAACTTGGGACACATAAAAATTTTCAAATTATCATTATGCTTTTTATACACATCTGAATATTCCAGTTGAAATAATACTTTTAGTAAGAAATGATTAGAGTATATGAATATTAGTATTTCTTTTTTTCTAAGTCTATCATAGTAGCTTGAAACAGGTACTGCTTATAAAGTATTGCCAGCAGCTTTATTATTTATGATTTCTGTTAATATGTAAGTGTATATTATACAAAATAAATTTTGTATAAGGTACAAAAAAAGTATTATGATATCTCCAACACATTACAAATAGTGGGCCCTAACGTGTTTATAAAAATTGAATTGCTGTTGCCCGGTACCAGTGAAACATGATTATTCTGTCTGTGTAAATTGGTTTCTTGGCTATAGCGTTTTCATTTTATGTGCCCCTTTGGAGAAAGCAAATTCAAGGATAATATCGATAATAAATTAATTTCTTTTAAATATTTGGCCATCTTTTACCAATGTGCCCTGTTAACCTACAATATGGCCCAGAATTTTGTCATTTTTCATGCATAAATCTTATGTTTTAATTTATTCTAAGTACTAACAGTATTTATACAAAGCGAACACTAGATTAAGGACCTGATTAATTTGAGGACAACACTTTTTTTTGAGAGTAGAATGTTACTTAAAAGATAGTCTTTTCGAATTATGACTATGTAGCTTTCAAAAAGAAAGCTTAAAACAACAAAACTTGTTCAGAAATTCCTCTAATATTAGTAGACTATAAATTTATCAAACTATCAAGAACAATTGCTAAAATGTAATGACATCAGCTTTTGTTATACCTTGTTATTCTTAACAAATCAGTTAATCCTACTAATATGATATATACTTCAATTAAGATCATATTGTGGAGACAGAAAATAGGTCATGTGTATCCCTCACTCTTTTGTTCTAGTAATACTGATTTCTTTTCAGTATTCAAATTTTAATCATGTGAATACTTAATTTAAAAATGTAAAACATAGTACATTTTAAACTTAGAAGATTTAAAAGGAGTTTCTTGATAATTTTAAATCTCCTTGGTTGAACTTTTTTTTCTTCACAAAGTAGAAATCTTCACAGCATTTAGTTTCCATCTAAAAGTAGTAGGTACATTTTTATGGTGTTAGTATTGCCAAAGGTCATCTCTTTGATACTAGGTTAATTTACCATATGAAGGTCATTCACATAGAAAGAAGCAAGAGCTTCTTTTAGCTGCAGTGTAGTTCCCTCCTGGCAGTTTATTGCCTACCAAAAATACATACTTCTTTACATTCCATAGCATTGTATGTTCATATGGGTACATAAAGAAGTATGTACTCTGAGTAGGTTTTACTAAGTTGTTAGCTGTAAAAACATGAAATGTTTTATTTTCCCATTTGTTAGTAAAACATTTAGTTTACTGATACAGAGTAGTGGTAGATCATTGGCAGAGACTATCAAAGACTAAACTATAACAGATTTACCTGAAGCATGGCATTAGTGCCATTCATGGCTCCTTGTTCTTGGTGGACATAGATACGTCTAAACACTAACCAGTATCTGTTGAACTTTGTCCTGGTCTGGTTGTTTTTGCAAGAGATTCATAGAATCAGTGGAGGTTTTACAGAGTATATTTCAGAAATTGGTAAGATCAGCCTAGTGTTTCTTCATTGTCTTCAGAGGAATTTCTTCTTATTTTGTAGTTTGCTTCTAGATCCTGCAGGTAGATAGTAATGAATTCAGTGCAAATTCTTTTTACAAACTAGATATCTTATTGAAAACTTAACCAGTTAACCAATTAGTACTTCTTCTGTTGAAAGAACAAGGAGAAAAGCTAGATCTTTTTAGAGTGTGAGTGAACTGAAGTTTTAAAGATGATGAATTTTTTATTTTTTTTTTAAAGGTCACAGATAAGGAACTCATGATTATTTGAGAACTTCTTTCTCGTTCCTTTGTCTTTATTAGTTACTTACCTGAATTTTGCATTTTGGTGCTTTTGTTTGGGTTGAATACACTTTCGAATAGATGTATAAATATCTAATTTTGGTGAGTTTGGTTCTTTTGATTCTTTAATTTTTTTGGTATAAAGGATCACTACCAGAACAGTCTTTTCTAAAGTCTCACTGAAAAGAATTTAAAGGTGTTAGCCTGTGACACCAGGGTCTGCGCTTGATCATTTAGCTTGAAAAGACATTATAGTTGGTGAGTTGCCTTTAATTATTGTGGTATTAAAAGGTTAATTTAAAAGAACACCGTAAGAAATTTTCATATTCGGGAAAGGAGAAAACAAAAAGGTAGGGAAAGTCGAATTTCTGCAGCCCGTGATAAAAAGTTGGTGAAGCTCAGAGAGAGCAAATCAGAATGTAGCAGTAGATGGCCCAGCACTACAGCAGTTTCAGCAGTGCAGTGTTAGGATTTACCATGCACATTCTGATTTATTTTTGTGACCAACTAAAAGTTAGCATTAAGTATTTTGTGATCTGCCAAGTCTCTTGGTTGACTAAACCTTGAAATAGACAGTTAATAGTTTTTAAAAGGTAGCGTACTTTGGAAGCAGGATGTGATTTACTAAGGATGCAAAATCATTATTTAATCTGAAACAAAGACTAAATCTTCAGTAACATCAGTGCCAGTAATGGATTTGTACATTTTTGAGATCAAGAATTATCTGCCAGGATACTTGAACAACATTCCTTTTTACGCTACATAAGCTGTCTACTTGAACTATGAAATTAGGCAGTGCCCAGATAGACTTTAACAATAGAAGCATGTATCGAGTCATAATAGGTAAGCATGCAGAAAGTCATAAGTATCCTTAAAAGTGCAGGCCTTATGGTGCTGTTACCTGTAAGTTTAGTGCCATGCAGCTTTTGCAGGAGGAAGAGAGATAATGACCTAGAGAGTTACATCAGCAGCTGCCATCTCCTCTTGATCGTTCCTTCACTCTATTCGCTGATTCAGCACTTCTTTCCATGAGCCGAGGGAAGCAAAGGGCCGTATCAGTGAACACAGAACCCCACCTTTTAAGATACATTTGAAAAACAAATGAACAAACAGAAAAACCCAAAAAAGCCATCTTTTCCCTCTCCCTTCCCTTTGCCTTAAAAAAAACAAACAACAAAACTGAATCAAAGTTGGCCATTTGATTTGGAAGGTCAAATTACCAGTATTGCACAGATATGAGTACCTTGTATCTGCTGTACAGAAAGTTAAGCAACCAAGGAAGGTTGGTATAATGGCCAAGAAAATGAACTTTGCTTATTTTCAGATAAAATGCTTCAGAAGAGGGCAGAAAGTTGCAAAGGAAGTTAATTTTATAATCTAAAAAAAACAAAAAGCCAAAAACCAAAACACACCTCACTCCCCCCAAGTAACTGTAAACATTCACCCTATTTTCTTTTGCCCACCAGAATACATTAGGTTCTTCTGACTTCTCAGGAAATATTCTGTATCTTTCTTGCTGTGAAGTTGTTTTTTTGGTTTGTTTTTTTTTTTTGATTTGTTTTTGGTTTTTAGTTTCCAGGATTAATTGGTAGATCTGTAGTGAAGCCACCTTGTCATATCCAGAGGTCAAGTCTGCAAGGAAGGTCAGGACTTCCCCATGGTCACTACAGAGGTTAACTTATATTCTTCTCTCAGTGGCCACGGGCTAAACTGTTACAGCTTTATAGGCAGCTAAGCATTTGAAACATGCACTCCCAGGCAAACAGGCTCTCTTGTGCCTCTCTCTTCCCTGACCATATTTAGTCAACCATAGCAAAAAATAGTCTCTCAGCTGTCGATTGTCGATCCAAAAGTGGAGGAAGCTTCTATCTTGCTTTCTGCCTATTGATTGTTCATCCTGCAGTCCAAACACTGCTTTGCCATTTGTTCTGCCCCCCCCCCCTTTTTTTTAAAGCACTGCCAAATAAAGCGGTCTCTCATGTTTCCACTTACATTTCCCAGATTTTCACTGAGCTTGCGCTGAGACTAGGAAAGCCTGATGCGGCTGTCACTATACTTAGAAGCACTGCAGAGAAAAAAAGGAAAGAGGAAAAATATTACCCTGGCTAGTTGCAAGGCAGTCTTTAGACAGACCTGGAACAAGTAAAATCCCTCTGCTGCCAAAATATATTTCATAACCTAATTTTTTGTTAGTAAAAAATATTATGGATGATGATATTTTACATAACTAAAGGCCTGAAGAGATTTTGCAGGGTTATCTTTAGAGCTAGTTGTTGCTACACATGCTTTTTAAATTTAAGGAATAATATTTGAATGGAAAATATGTAGAAATGGTAAGTAGAACCTATGTATTAAAAATGGAGAGAGATCATTAAGGAAGAAAAGAGTAGTGTGTAAATGAAATCTTGGAAAAATGCTACTTAAAACTTTTAATTCAATGTCAGTTTCAGTTATTTTTTTATAGTGCTTAGATGAGAAATGGTCTGGAATGCTTTTGAGTAATTGTGTACTTTTATATTGAAACTATACATACAGAACTATTATTATTCCTTACTATATATTACATACAGAACTACTATTAATAACATTTTTATTCTATTTCATTTTCCAGATGCAAAGTATTTTTTTCCCTTCTTTTGACATTGCCATTCCTTTTAAATTTTTTGAAATAACATTTAGGCATGATCATTTCTACTTTACCAGAGACTATGAATTAGTCATTAATCTGATCTATAACATTTCTACTTTACCAGAGACTATGAAACAGTCATTAACCTAATCTATAATGAAGCATAATACTATATGCTTCAAAGGAAAAAATACTTTTGCTCTAAATTTTAATAGCATATTCACAATAAATGGTAAAGTTGAAATTTTTTTTAACCAAGGAGAAAAGAATATTATAACATCAAATCTAATGTAATTGTGGAGATACAGTTTTAAGATTTTACAAATCTAAAAATGCCCAAGAGAAGCTTTGTTCTTCCCTAAACCAAATCTATACCTTGTTCTTAATTCAAATACAGTATTCTGTTAAGTATTGATTCAATTAAGAATCAAGAAAAACTCTTACCAGTTTTTTAAGCTCAGTCTCCTACAAGGGAAGTTTGTCCTTGATATTCTTTTTGTCTTTAGCATTTAATACCATAGCAGGTGAATTATTTTGGATGACTCTTTTAAAGCAATGACATGAAGAGTGCTTCTGTGGACATTTGTCAGTTTTGAAGAGCCAGCTTTCCTAGATATTGGAATACTTTTACACATATTGTGAGAAGATGACACCCGTCTCAGTTTAAGACAGGGTAATTTTCAGGTTTCTAAATCGCCTCATTTTTTTCTAACCATTTTGTAGCAGTGAAAGGTTTTTTTGTTGTGGTTGTTATTGTTTTTTTATTTTTATTTTTTTAAAGATTTTATTTATTTATTTGACAGAGAGAGAGACAGTGAGAGAAGGAACACAAGCAGGGGGAGTGTGAGAGGGAGAAGCAGGCTCCCCGCTGAGCAGGGAGCCCAGCGCGGGGCTTGATCCCAGGACCCTGGGATCATGACCTGAGCCGAAGGCAACGCTCAACGACTGAGCCACCCAGGCGCCCCTGTTTTTGTTTTTAAAAGCAAACGTATAAAGTGCTGGTACTCTTCTAAACCCTTTTAAATTTTCATAACAACTTCTTTGAAATAGAATCTGTGATTCTTCTCACATTTTATAGATGAGGAAACCAAGGCATAGAAGTTAAGTAACTGCTCAAGTCACCAGCCATTCACTTTGCTAATGCCAGAATTTGAACCCAGATAGTTTGGCTTCAGACTTTGAGCTCTTTACCACCACACCATGCTCCTGCTCTGGTTTGTAATAATGAAACCAGTTAGGGAATTACCACTCTTGGGGACTTAAGAATATACCAGAAATTTAATAGGTTGCTAAATCCTCGCCTCCATTATATTCAGAAATGATTGTTCATTTGATTGTTTCTTCTTTTGTTCCATTCAACAAAACTTTGAGCTCCTTTTACTAGGCATACAAAGGGGACATAAAGATAAGTAAAACAGGGTCCTGGTTTAAACATAGAAGGAGAAATAAGAACTGATTGGTCATTTAAGAGATAATTTTGGTTGTCTTTAGTTTAAGAAAACTCGAGTACTCAGCTATACAACTCTTCTGCAGTCTGAATTGTTGCATATCTCTTTCTCATTTTGAGCTAAATTCTATATCCAAATTCTTACTTAACAAAATTAGGCTACATTAACAAGCCTTTTAATTGTGGTATCTGTCAAAAAAAAGTTTGGTGGGGGGAGGGGGGGATAAAAGCACACCAAAAAAAGAATTTAAAAACATCTAACTAATGTCTATTCACTAGCTATAAGTAGATGAAAGAAAATAAAAACCAGCTATATTCATTTATTAAAGTGATGACCATGGATAGCATCTGGGTATGTATCTTCCCAGGCTTCTTGTCTGCATCCATTCAGATGGGGGTAGGTATCGAACAAAAATATGTTTAGAATATCACATACTGATCTGCTTTTAGTATGCCCTGAAGAACTTCTGCTTGGGATTGATCAACTTTCTTAGTAGGTTCCTTTATGAATTCTGGACTGACAGGCTTTATTAGCTTTATTATTTGAGGGATTGTTCATTAACTTAGCAAGCATTTAGTGATCTAATTTTTTTTTACATTAATATGTAAGACCTCCACAGTTTATCTACTTGGGTTTGTTTAGAAAAACGTTGCCTATCTCTGAAGAAAGTTTGTAAAGCATGGCAGGCCCTAAAAATGGACCCAGTGCCATTTGACGGCTACATACCAATGTAGACAGCTGCTTGTCCCTCTACTTCTTAGAACTCATTTGTTCATCATTCAGCAGACGTTTGAGTATTACCAAGTGCCAGGGATTATACTAGGCACCACTATTAGTTGTTCCGGAACTTAATGCTTCTTTGGCAGTCTTCACAAATGCCTGCTTAACTGGTAGCAAGATCTTATCTTTAAACCATCCATGTCCTTAACCTCTTGGAAAACAACCAGATTGAGAACTAAAGAAGAGTGTTTGGGCATTAGGGAAAATACCGCCAAATCTCATGTACTGTGCTCCACAGGTGAGAGCCTGTTGACTCAATACAATTATTGATGTGCCAAACTGGTAACGCCCTGATCCCAGCAGCCCTGTGGGCCTGAGTGCTTACAGCCTAGGTCTCCTCTTGAGGAACGACAGCGCTGCAGGGGACAGCCGGCAGCAGCATGCCTGGTTGGACTGTGGGCTCCTCAGATTGTCCACCCCACGAAAGTGGGACTAATTAACAGAATGGATTGGTTCTGAAGTGAAAACTTGCTCTCTGAAAATCTGAATTTTGCATTTTAGTATTAGGATTTGATGGACTTTATGGAATGTTATCTAGAAGGGACTGGGATCATTTTTGTCACTTCTGACAGTAGCCTGGAATTACCATCTTTCTTTTGCTCTTATACTTCAGTTACTCATTTTGAACTGAGAGGAAAAGCAAAAAGATAAAAGGTAGTGAGAGATGGCAGATGGCAGAGAGTAGAGAGGCAGTAGGCTTTCAGGAATACATATCTATTTCTGTTTAAGTACCTCACTAACCTTCTGAGCCATTGGCTCTTCTTTCTGAGAGACTTCAGCTTTCTCTAGCTTTTTCACTTAGGAAATGCAAAAGCCCAGAACAAGTTAGTGAATGGCTCCATCTCAGTGGATAGCTTATGCCCAGAGAAGGAACTGCTCCTCCTTTCCCTTTCTTTCGAGTTGTTGGCAGCATAATATGGGAAGGTACTTCTGAAACAGGAATGCAAAGTAGTGGGAAAGATGGTTTCATTAAGAACCATCTTCTTGGGCGCCTGGGTGGCTCAGTCGTTGGGCGTCTGCCTTTGGCTCAGGTCATGATCCCAGGGTCCTGGGATCGAGCCCCGCATCGGGCTCCCTGCTCGGCGGGAAGCCTGCTTCTCCCTCTCCCACTCCCCCTGCTTGTGTTCCCTCTCTCGCTGTGTCTCTCTCTGTCAAATAAATAAATAAAATCTTTAAAAAAAAAAAAAAAAGAACCATCTTCTCAAGGATATCTATTCAATAATGTGACTTAAAAAAAAAAACTTGATGAAATTAGCATGAAACCACACCTTATAATGTAAAACTTACTGTCATATTTATATATCTTGGCTATAAGAACTAAAGTAGCAAATTTAAAAGATTTTAACATAGTAAGCCTAAATATTATTTTAGTGTTTTGACTTAAATTTTTAAAATCTAATATATATGCATAGGTAAATCAAATACTACTGCAAAGCTTATAATAAAGAGAACTGTATTCTGCTTTATCCCTCTTCATCCCTTTGTTCCCCCTACACCCCTCCCCCAATAACTTCCAGCTTGTCCTGCAGTTTTCCTAATGTATCAATTGTAGATATTATCTACTGATTTCATGTCATGAGAAATGAAGATTTAAAGCTATTGACATCATCTATTACCATTTCTCTCAACATAATCCTATCACAGTTTTTGTTTAAATCAATGTGTTTACATTATTATCTTATAATTACATTTTTTTTTTACTGAAACTTTTTTTCCACATGATTTAATACATCTTCTAAACTCTCCAAAAGAATCATAAAACCCTTATAAATTCCATTTCTCACATGGTCAGATGTGTAGAGTGCTAGATAATGTTTGGCATTGGCATCATGATTATGCCAAATCCAAACATTCAGTAATACAGTGTGGTACTAGAAGTTTTCCCCATTAAGAATCTGAGGCAAAGTTACGTAATATCTAGTATCTCTCTCTCTTTTTTAAAAGATTTTATTTTTAAGTAATCTCTTCACCCAATGTGGGGCTCGAACTCACAGCCATGAGATTAAGAGTCCCATGCTCTACCAACTGAGCCAGCCAGGTGCCCCAATATCTAGTATCTTATTTTAATCCGGTGAAGGAGGAAGATTAGAATCCTTGTAATTACTGTAAACGAACTAAAGCAGGAAACCTGAGCTTTGTATGAGGTCTGCGAGTGGGATCTAGGGGTTTGTAGCCTCTCAAAATTGTGGGCAGAGCTATATAATGTGCATTTCTCTCCATAGTTTTCCATAGATTTCCAAAGAATTCTCTCACCCCTAAGCAGTGATTATAACTTTAGTAACAGCCACTGAAAGCTGTCTTTAAGCTGTGATTCTCAATATATTTTGGGTATATAGCTCCTCCTCCCTAATCCCATACCCCCCTCCCTTCTTGCAACCATCAGTTTGTTCTCTGTATTTATAGGTCTGATTCTGCTGTTTGTTTATTCATTTGTTTCTTAGATTCCACATATAAGTTAAATCATATAGTATTCTCTGTCTGACTTGTTTCACTTAGCATAGTATCCTCTAGGTCCATCCCTGTTGTCGCGAATGGCAAGATCTCATCCTTTTTATGTCCAAGTAATATTCCATTATATATATACACCACATCTTCTTTATCCATTTCGTCTATCAGTGGACACTTGGATTGCTTCCATATCTTGGCTATTGTAAATGCTGCAGTGAACAGGGGTGCACATATGTTTTTGAATTAGTGTTTTTGTTTTCTTTGGGTAAATACCTGATAGTAGAATTATTGGATCATATGATATTTTTATTTTTAATTTTTTGAGGACCCTCCATACTGTTTTCCACAGTAGCTGTACCAATTTATTTTCCCACCAACAGTACACTAGGGTTCCTTTTTCTCTACCTCCTCACCAGCATGTTATTTCTTGTCTCTGATTTTAGCTATTCTACAAGGTTGTAAAGTGATGTCTCATTGTGGTTTTGATTTACATTTCCCGATGATTAGTGATGTTGCGCATCTTCTATGTGTCTGCTGGACATCTGTATGTCTTCTTTAGAAAAATGTCTATTCATGTCCTCTGCCCATTTTTTAATCAAATTGTTTGTTTTTTTTGGAGTTTAGTTGTATAAATTCTTTATATATTTTGGATGTTAACCCTTTATCAGATATATCATTTGCACATATCTTCTCCCATTGAGTAGGTTGTCTTTTGTTGATGGTTTCCTTTGCTGTGCAAAAGCTTTTTATTTTGAAGTAGTCCCAGTAGTTTATTTTTGAAGAAGTGTCTCTTCTTGATAATTACGTCTCCTGCTCTTTTATGCTTTAATCTTTGATGGTCTTTAGGATAACTGTCTGTCTTGCTCTGGAAATATTTTGTTATCCTTAAATTTTAAATATTAAATTATAATTACCATTTTACATGTTTTGGTATCAACTAGATTTAGCACTGCTAAATGACATATATCAGATTTTTAACTGCAATTCATGATAATTACCAGTTACATGAAATTTGTCTTTTTATTACTATTATTCCTACTTTGTTGTTGTTACCTGGCTGTTCTTTATTAACTCTTTCATTAATAGATACTATTCAAATTGAACCTAAGAGTTTCCACAAAACCATAAATATGTCCTTGTTTGGATATATTTCTTTCCCCTTTGGTTTTTTTTTTCTCTCATAATGTTTTCCCCTTATAATACTCCTATTCTAGTTTGATTCTATTCCCCAAATGGTGATAGTTTGTTTACCTCTTTAAGCATCAAAAAGCTGCACATTAGAGATTTAGAAAAAAATACAATTCGTTTGTCTCTGAGGGCATAATTTTCTTTAAAGAAGAATGTTTTTTATTTCAAAAGTTTCCTTTACATATTTTTTCTAAAGAAAATAATGAAATATTTAATTAAATATCGAATTATGTAAATATCAAAATCATATAAACTTGACTTTCAGTGCAATGCGTGTTTTACTATCTAAATTACCAAGACCATGGATTGTGGATGAGAAGAAAGATGATGGTTATACTGCCTTGCATCTGGCTGCCCTTAACAATCATGTAGAAGTGGCCGAACTGTTGGTACATCAGGTAGGAAAAACTGTGCCATAATATTGCCATTCATTCATTTATTACTTCATCAACTACCTGTTGGTAGGTTATGGTAAAACCCCAAGACGATGCAAATTCAGATATGGTACCTATTCATTCTGCCTAACGCTGGTTCTTAAATGGAGGGTAGTGCTGTGTGTGTGTGTGTGTGTGTGTGTGTGTGTGTGTGTAAGGGGGTGGAGGGAATCCTTTAGCCCTGAGTATTCCCTCCTACAGTGTTCCTGGATTGGTCTGATGAAATAGGCATCAACAAACAGAGATTTTCCAGAATCACTGTCACTGTTGTGTAAGTATCCATTAGCCATAGGCCCAAGAACCATTATGTTGGTATCTAAGCTTGTGTGGCCAACTGCCATCAGGTAACACCAGGCTGCAGCCAGGATCTGGGGATTCAGGTCATGACCACTGCTGGACTCCTGGAATCTTGGCTGGATAGCAGCACAGGTTCACCTCAGTCATTTCATTCATCTCTGAAATAAGATGACGTTATATTTTTATGAGATTGGATCTTGGGGGAACTTATTTCCTGTAGTTTTATGATGTTTTAGTTTTTCAGCAAAAATTTTAAATACATACGCCATAGAGAAGCACTGAAGTTACCAAAGAATTATCTGTGATCTCTGACTTCAAGGAAGTTACAGTCTAAGTTAAGAAGATGAAATAGCAGAAAAATTTAGTAAATTGTTCATTATGTATAATTAGCATCACATTATAGGATAGACACTCCATGAACTATAGAATTCTAGTTTAGATTAAAAAAATAGTTCAAAAGTTAAACTTTGTTTTCCCCTGCCATTTTTTTTTTTTTAAAGATTTTATTTATATATTTGAGAGAGAGAGAATGAGAGAGAGCACATGAGAGGGGGGAGGGTCAGAGGGAGAAGCAGACTCCCCGCCGTGCAGGGAGCCCGATGCGGGACTCGATCCAGGGACTCCAGGATCATGACCTGAGCCAAAGGCAGTCGCTTAACCAACTGAACCACCCAGGCGCCCTCCCCTGCCATTTTAAGGCATAATTTTTATTATTTTTTTATTGAAGTATAGTTGACACACAATGTTACATTAGTTTCAGGTATACAACACAGTGATTTGACAATTGGAATTCTATTCATTATGCTCTGCTCACCACAAGTGTAGCTGTCATCTGTCACCATACAATGCTATTACAATACCATTGACTAGTAAGCCTTTATTATTAAGTTACTGCTCTTAGAAGTATTAATTGTGATAATTTCCTTTTCAATCCAAAATACAGATAACTGACGTTATGCCAATATCACACTATCTTGATTATTGTTTTTTAGTAAGTCTTGAAATCAGTTAAAGTCCTCCAACTTTGTTCTTTGTTCTTCTTCTCAGAATTACCTCAATATTTTAGATCTTTTGAATTTTTCCTATAAATTTTAGAATCAGATTATTAGTTTCTATTGAAAAATCTTGGCATTTTGGTTGCTCTGCACATTTTAGATTTATCTTTTTTTTAGATTTATCTTTAAGTAGTTTTTTCATGCGATTATAAATTGTAGTGTTTCAAAGTTCAGTGTCTGTATATTGCAAACATATAGAAATAGTTATTTTTTGTATGTTGACCATATTTCCTGTGATTTTGCTTTGATTACCAGAGATCATTAGGGGATTAGAAATTACACCCACAGTGAAATACTGCTAATCTACTACTACTACCTACCAACGAAAATGATGGAAATTAACCAAATGTTGGTTAGGGTGTGGTGCATTTAGAATTCACATACATTGCTGGTGTTTTCCAAAGCAGCCATTTTGAGAACAGTTTGGCAATTCTTAATAAAGTTAAACATGTATTTACTGTACAACCCAGCAGCCCCCCTTCTAGTTATGTACCAAAGAGAACATTTCCACACAAATACTTGTACTAAATATTTGTAGCAGCTTTATTTGTAATAACCTCAAACTGGAAGCAAGCCCAATGTTGACGAACTAGTGTCTAAATAAACGAATTATGGTACATTATACAGTGAATACTACTTTGGAAAATCTGATAATGGAAAAGTTCAGGAAACTTAAAAAGAAAATCCCTCATTTTCTGCATCTATGAGAAAAGGCATGATAAGAAAACAAGCTGAGATACAGTTCTTCATGATGACACCCAGAGAAACATAAATAATAAAGACAAATCAGAAACTCCCATCTTCTAGAATATGTCATAGCATTACTGGAGTTTCAGCTCTACCTAACACCCCGAGCAAGGGCACAGGTGGGGTTTCAAAGTTGTCTTTAGAGGGTATGAATAGTTCGAAGATGTAAACAGAATAATAAAGTTTATCTTCTGAATTTGTAGCCCTTTTCTTAGCTTCATTTTTAAAATTATTATGCAAGACATTGTATAGGGCAGTTTTACCTGTTATTTTTCTTAATCCTTCCTGGAGGGAAGGAAAATTTTTTCTTTCTTCCCTTCTAGGTTCTTTGGCTAGTCTAATAATTAAATTGACATGAGATATAACAACAAGAGAAAAACACATTTAATTTTGTACATATGGGAGCTCAGAAAAATAGGAGACTATCTAAAGTGACCAAAGCAGGCAGCTTTTATACCTTTTATTTTTATTTTTATTTATTTTTTATTTTTTTTAAAGATTTTATTTATTTATTTGAGAGAGAATGAGATAGAGAGAGAGCATGAGAGGGGGGAGGGTCAGAGGGAGAAGCAGACTCCCTGCTGAGCAGGGAGCCCGATGCGGGACTCGATCCCAGGACCCTGGGATCATGACCTGAGCCGAAGGCAGTCGCTTAACCAACTGAGCCACCCAGGCGCCCGGCTTTTATACCTTTTAAACAAACAATTATTTGTGGAGAATTCACAAAGGGGTTTGTGCTTGGGGTAGCAAATAAATAAATGAAGTAACAAAGTTTATTTATACAGTCAGTTTTTGGCCCTTAATTCCTTATGTCTGGCAATAAGGATGCCTTCTACCCTCCAAGTGCAGGGAGGATAGTCTTCACAGAGAATTTATTTCCTGCTTTCAGGGGAACAAAGGAAGGTCAGAGTGTCCTTGCACTGGCTGTTTCTTAAGTAACTTTAATTCAAAATAATCAGTATTCCAAAGTGGCATTATTTTGGGGCAGCCCCCCTGAAGCCCATCATCACAATAACCCTGGCAATAGGTTGTACTATGACCGTGTTAGAGCCGAGGAAATGAGCATGAAATGGCAGAATCCTTGCTTAAGTTCTTGAAGCTCCAGGTCCCTTGGTGCCAGTGAGTTCAGAATTTTGCTTCTCAGTTCCTTTCCTCTGTCCTTGGCATCAGCTCTTCTCATATAGTGCTTTGACTATCCCAGGACCCTGGTAGGACTTTCTGCTTTCCCTTTAATAAGTATTTTTACGTACTAATTAATTAAACATTGTCTTCTCACCCTCCAGCAAAGTTCCTTTTCACTGAATAAGAGCTCAGTCATGCAGTAAGAGTAGGTGACCTTATTAGGTCATTAAAGTAAATCTAAATCCACTAAGAAGACTCACTAATAGAACTTTTTAGGAAATTTCATTTACAGTCAAAAGGAACTAATTACCTCTTACTGTATAATGGAGTTTGAGATGGAGCTGTGTTTGAGCTCTGTACTGAACTTTGTTCTTTAACTGTTCCTATATGGAGTCACTATAATAAATAATTATTGTAAACGTGCTGTTCTAGCTCAGAAAGTTTGCTGCCCCGTCCAGTTTTTGCTGTATTGCCAGCAACTGTTACAAGAACAGTGTTGCGGTAGCTAGAAGAGAGGAAGGTGGTCAACAGTGTTCTGTGTTACTTATTCCTCATGAAAAGTTATAGTTGTAGTGTTCACAGTTGTCAAATTTTGAGTATGTAAACTTTGTTCTTCTTGTTCAGGGTAATGCTAACCTGGATATCCAGAATGTGAACCAGCAAACTGCCCTACACCTTGCTGTTGAACGACAGCACACCCAGATTGTGAGGGTAAAGTATTTACTAACAAGAATCTTACCTTATAGTTGTGGTTTAACCAGACAGATTTCTAGAAAGTCTTGAAAATTATTCATAGTTAGATTTTTCAAAAGACATAGTTGGATCCAAAAATTATGATTTTAGGCTAATATTTTGCATCAATTGGGTAAAGAGTTTTAATTTATAATAGGGAAAATCTTAAAACTGTGATACTCAAAGACTATTGTATAATTGTTGCCAGACTTGTGACTTCCCAAATATTAAATCAGAGAATTTCAAAGTAACATATAAATTGGTTTTTTAAAAGCACACTCCCTCTTAATTTGTATAATTGAGAGTGAACTATAATTAAAAGCTTAGGCTGGACGTTTGCTGCACAGATTCCAAAAAAGCTGAAATATGTATTTTTATTTGACTAATCTGATATTCCAGAGAAAATATTTGAAAGATTATCGGTTTAAAATTTTTTTGTAGAGCAGTGATTCTTAAAGTTTAGAAGCTGAACCAGCAGCATCAGCATCACCTGGGACCTTGGTAGAAAATTCTTGGGCCCCACCTCAGACCGACCAAATCAGAACCTCCAGGGGTGGGAACTAGCAATCTGTGGTTTAACAAGTCCTCCAGGTAATTCTCATGCATGTTAAAATTTGAGAAACACTGTCCTAGAGTGACATTTTATGTAAGCTTTTGGGAACAAAGTTAAAAAAAACACCACTGAAAAATGGTAATTTGCCAAGAGAGGTAAGACCATATGCTTGAGATTGGCTTCTGTTTATGGTGTTTTTCTAAAACTCTGACAGCATTTATAGAAAGGATTAGGAAAATCAGTAAAACACCGTTAACTAAAGTCTTAAATATAAAGTTATATTTACTATTTAAAATATCTTTGAGGTGTATCAGTTATGCATTTTATATGTAGTTTAGCAAACCCTTCACATTTATTGTTATATAAAATTCCTCTTGCTCAAACTGAGGGTTGCTGGAGGGGAGGGGGGTGGAGGGATAGAGTAACTGGGTGATGGACATTAAGGAAGGCATGTGATGTAATGAGCACTGGGTATTATATAAGATTGATGAATCACAGACCTGTACCTCTGAAACCAGTAATACATTATATGTTAATTAATTGAATTAAAATTTTTAAAAATTTAAATACTAAAAAAATAAATAAAATTCCTCTTGCTAAAAATTCTTCATTTATCTGTGATATTTGGACTTTTTATGACTGTACATTTGGAAAAATTGACCAAAGAGGATGGAATAAATAACTTGCTTGTTTCTTTAAGTAATAGAAGAATTGTGAACATTTATGATTTGGTCCTATTGGAAGTACTTAAAATATCCCAACTTGCATATCTGAAATTCAAAGGAGAAAAAGGGGGCGCATGGCTGGCTCAGTCGGTAAAGCATGCAACTCTTGATCTTGGGGTTGTGAGTTTGAGCCCCACATTGGGTGTAGAGATTACTTGACAAAATCTTTTTTATTTTTAAAGATTTATTTATTTATTTGAGAGAAAACGAGAGCGTGAGCAGGGTGGGGAGGGGCCAGGGGAGAGGGAGGGAGAGTCCTAACCAGTCTGGGCACGGAGCCCAATGCAGAGCTTGATCTCATGATCCTGAGATCACAGCCTGAGCTGAAACCAAGAGTTGGATGCTCAACTGACTGTGCCACCGAGGCGCCCCGAAAAAATAAAATAATTAAAAAAATAAACTAAAAGGAGAAAAAAATGTCCTAAATTTCTCCTAGTTATCTTTTTCTTAGAGTTGATGAATTAGCCACATACTGGTTCTCATTTCTTTCTGTTTTCTCTGATTTGATATATTTGAGTAACCAGAGCTCATCACTATTTGTAAAGGAGCCACAGGAGTTTTAAGAGTAGCAAACGAGGGCGCCTGGGTGGCTCAGTTGGTTAAGCAACTGCCTTTGGCTCAGGTCATGATCCTGGAGTCCCAGGATTGAGTCCCGCATCGGGCTCCCTGCTCGGCGGGGAGTCCGCTTCTCTCTCTGACCCTAACCCCTCTCATGTACTCTCTCTCATTCTCGCTCTCTCAAATAAATAAATAAATCTTTAAAAAAAAAAAAAAAAAAGAGTAGCAAACGAATACATAAAGATAATTAGCTTTAGTGGCAGTCGCTTCAGGTAGGTCCAGGGCTCTGTCACTAGTACTTGATCTTATTTTATTTTATTTTATTTTGTTATTAATTAACATACAGTATACTATTAGTTTCAGGGGTAGAGTTTAGTGATTCATCAGTTGCAAATAACACCCAGTGCTCATTGCATCACATGCCCTTCTTAATACCCTTCACCCAATTACCCCATCCTGCCATCCTCCTCCCTTCCAACAACCCTCAGTTTGTTTCCTATAGTTAAGAGTCTCTTACAGTTTGTCTCCCTCTCTGATTTTGTCTGTGTTACTTTAGATATGTAGTAATTTCTTATGGGCCAGAGAGACCTTAGCAAAATGAGATGTCTTTCTCTTTTAGCTTTTGGTCCGTGCAGGTGCCAAATTAGATATTCAGGATAAGGATGGGGATACTCCTTTGCACGAAGCTCTGAGGCATCACACCTTGTCTCAACTACGTCAGCTCCAAGATATGCAAGATGTGGGGAAGGTCGATGCTGCATGGGAGCCATCCAAAAACACAGTGAGTAAAATAATCTTTAACTCAGTACTACTGGAAGTATCTTCAATGCAAGATCTTGTATTTTCGGTTAATTTAATCTGTTTCTGATAAAATATGTATCAGAGCTGCATATATGTAGAAATTTAGTTTACGGACTAAGTAATAGTTAATTCTGACTATATTGCTTCAAATTCTTACTGAAAGTTGTTTGGTTCTTTTTTAACTTTAGCCATTCATATGGGTGTGTAGTGGTATGTTGGGGTTTTGATTTGCATTTCCCTAATGACCACTGATAAATTTTTTTAAAAAATTATTTATTTTTGAGAGAGAGTGAGAGCACGAGCGCAAGCAGGGGGAGGGGCAGTGGGTGAAGCTTATTGAGCAGGGAGCCCGATGCGGGACTTGATCTCAGGACCCTGGGATCATGACCCCAAGCTAAAGGCAGATGCTTAATGGACTGAGCCATCCAGGCACCCTGATTTTTTTTTTTTTAAAGATGTTATTTATTTATCTGAGAGTGAGCGAGAGAGAGAAAGCACAAATGGGGGAGGAGCAGAGCGAGAGGGAGAAGCAGATTTCCTGCTGAGTAGGGAGCCCAATATGGGGCTTGATCCCGGGACTCTGGGATCATGACCTGAGCCGAGGGCAGACACTTAACCGACTGAGCCACCCAGGCACCCCAGTGACTACTGATATTGAACATCTTTTCATTTGCTTGTTTGTCACTCGCATATATTTGATGAAGTGTCTATTCACATTTTTTGTGCATTGTTTTGTTGAGCTGTTTTCTTACTATTGAGTTTTGAGAGTCTAAATTCAAGTTCTGTATCAGATATGGGATTTGCACCTATTTTCTCCCCATCTGTGGCTTGTCTTTTCATTCTTTCAGTAGTGTTTTTGGAAGAGCAGAAGTTTTTAATTTTGATGAAGTCTAATTTATAAATTTTTCTTTCATTGTGCTTTTTGTGTCCTATCTGAAAAATCTTTGCCAAACCCAAGGTCACTAAGGTTTTCTCCTCTTTTGTACTAGAAGTTTATTAAGTTTTAGCTATTACAGTTAGGACTGTGATTCTTTTTTTTTTTTTTTTTAATTTGAATTCAAGTTACTTAACATATAGTGTATTATTAATTTCAGAGTAGAATTTAGTGATTCATCAGTTGCAAATAACACCCAGTGCTCATTACATCAAGTGCCCTCCTTAATGCCCATCACCCATTTATCCCATCCCTCCACTCCCTTCCCCTCCAGCAACTCTGTTTGTTCTCTATAGTTTGAGTCTCTTGTAGTTTGTCTCCCTCTCTATTTTTAGCCTATTTTATTTTTCCTTCCCTGACCTATGTTCATCAGTTTTGTTTCTTAAATTCCATATATGAGTAAAATCATATGGAATTTGTCTTTCTCTGACTTATTTCACTTAGCATAATACACTATAGTTCCATCCAAGTTGTTGCAAGTGGCAAGGTTTCATTCCTTTTGATGGCTGGGTGATATTCCTTTTGATGGCTGGGTAATATATATATACCGTATCTTCTTTATCCATTTGTCTGTCGATGGGCATCTGGGCTCTTTCCATAGCTTGGCTTTTGTGGACACTGCTGCTATAAACATTGGGGTGCATGTGCCCCTTTGAATCACCTTTGGATAGATACCTAGTAGTGCACTTGCTGGGTTGTAGAGTAGTTCTATTTTTAACTTTTTGAGGAACCTCTAAACTGTCCTTCAGAGTGGCTGCACCAGCTTGCATTCCCACCAACAGTGTAGGAGGGTTCCCCCTTCTCCGCATCCTTGTCAACATGTATTGTTTCCTGAGTTGTTAATTTTAGCCAATCTGACCAGCGTGAGGTGGTATCTCATTGTGGTTTTGATTTGTATTTCTCTGATGATGACTGATACTGAGCATTTTTTCATGTGTCTGCTAGCCATTTGTATGTCTTCTTTGGAGAAATGTCTGTTCATGTCTTCTGCCCATTTCTTGGCTGGATTTTTTGGTTTTTTTGGGTGTTGAGTTTGATGAGTTCTTTATAGATTTTAGGTACTACCCCTTTATCTGATATGTTACTTGCAAATATCTTTTCCCATTGCGTGGGTTGCCTTTTAGTATTGTTGATTGTTTCCTTTGCTGTGCAAAAGCTTTTTGTCCTGGTGAAGTCCCAGGAGTTCATTTTTGCCTTTGTTTCCCTTGCCTCTGGAGATGTGTCTAACAAGAAGTTGCCGAGGTCAAAGAGGTTGCTGCCTGTGTTCTCTTCTAGGATTCTGATGGATTTCTGTCTCACATTTAGGTCTTTCATTGTACTATGACTCATTTTGAGTTAATTTTTAAGTATAGTATGAAGTATCAGAGTTCATTGTTTTGCATGTGAATGTTCCAGTTATTCCACCACCATTTGTTGAAAAGCCTTTTTCTACTGAATTGTCTGTTGTACCTTTATCCCAAATCAATTAACCATATATGTGAGTCTTTCTGGATCCTGTATTCTCTTCTGGTGATCTGTGTCTTTAGCTATGTGATGCCAACCCTACTGTCTTGATTACTCATTTTTAAGTATGTGAAGAGGTTCTGAGACCAGAGTGTTTGAGAATTGCTGCCTTTCCATATGACCATTGGTAAATTCTCTAACTCCTGTGTGCCTTTCTCATTTCATTTTATTTTTTTGAAGATTTATTTATTTGTCAGAGAGAGAAAACAGCAGGCAGAGGGGGAAGCAGGCTCCCCGCTGAGCAGGGAGCCCAATGCGGGGCTCGATCCCAGGACCCCGGGATCATGACCTGAGCCGAAGGCAGACGTTTAACCAACTGAGCCACCCAGGCGTCCCTCCTCATTTTAAAAAGGAAGGGGTGGAATAATTACCTCCATAAGGTTGTTGTAAAGATTAAATGAGTTAATTCCTGGGAAGTGCTAAAAATAGTATTTGGTCCATTGTAGGTGCTCTACAGTATTTGATAACATGTTTGAATGAGTAGCTCATATGATATCAGAACATGATTTATCTCCTCCATTTCTTGGCTCAGTTCCTTGGTGTTGGTTCTTTTCTCTGTTGTCTCTCCTCTTACTGTTTCATGTTGGCTGCCAGCAGTTCCAGAGCTACATTGGTTTGGGGACTACTATTTCCTCCATATGTCAATCATAAGTCCCGTTCTTGAGTTTTATTGGCCGAATTGACCTGATTTGTCATCCCTGAACTAATCACATAAGATGAGGTGGATATCTGACTTTCAGCCTTCTTTGGTCCACCTGTAACAGTGACAGTGGGGTCAGTCCTCAAACTACACCTGAGAAAACTGGAGTGAAGGGGGGGAATGGATGTTAGGACTGCAACTCATAAATGCCCACCATGTCTATATAGGCCATAAGTTCTTTCCAGACGTGTATTTTTATATAATACACACAGACATGCACACACACACATTTGGTGGTAAGAATTGATAACAGATTCCTAAGGGGAAAATCATGACTCTTTTCATTTGATTTCAGTTAATAATGGGACTTGGTACCCAGGGGGCGGAGAAGAAGAGTGCAGCATCGATTGCCTGTTTTTTGGCTGCCAATGGCGCTGACCTTAGCATTCGAAATAAGAAAGGTCAATCGCCGCTTGATCTCTGTCCTGATCCAAGTCTCTGCAAAGCACTGGCAAAGTGTCATAAGGAAAAAGTCAGGTTTGTACCATTTATTATCATAAAACTTAGTATTCTCTCTATATATAGAGTACCATGTGGTTTCATAATGGAGGACTTGATTACTTGAAAATGTTTTTGTCTTTGCTCATCATCTTTGTGCTGACCCTTTTTCCCTTAAAAATTTTCCTGCAGACACTATGTCTCTTATTTCATGTTGTATTCTCTACATTACTGAATATGACACTTTATGCATAATAAATGCTAAGAAACTTTTCTAAACCAGTCTGATCTTCCAGTACTCCTACATGTTAGAGAAATTTATCTATAAGAAAAAGTCTTACTAGTGAGATGGCTGTGATTAATGTTAGATGTATTTAAAATTTTAATAGACCTTTTTAGGAGAGGCAGTTTACATGCTCACCAGTAAGGTGTACCTTACAGATGCGGTAGTAATTCCAGCACCCTGCAGAGTGCCTGACAGGGACTCACTAAGTATCACTGAAGGACTGAAAGAATTTGAAAGAATGAATACATGAAGGAACCAATTCCTGATGGAGTTGTCTCTAAAAATGATTTCATACTTGTCTTCTTTTCTAAAAGTAAAATATATCAGTGATTTTAATTATTATTTATAATGCAACTGATTTTCTTCTTATGAGATATTGTAGACATACAAAGAGGTATATTTCATTACTTTTTTTATCCAGATGGTGCTGTGCAATTATTACTGCCCTTTATATCTGGTTCTTGTCATTGAACATTTCAGTAGTTGTCCCTTGATCTTTGTGTTCTCTTGCCTCTTTTATAATTTAGGTGTAGTGATAAATGACTTCCCTTTGGAATCCATACCTTAGAGCTGTGTTAATGGGGAAATTAATGCAATGAGGTATATACATTTCTTTAAGTGTATCCTTAAGGATAAAATTCTGTTACAAAATGACAGCGCGCATCTAAAAACATAGAAGGCACTATAATTACTGCAGTAATAACTTTAACACTGGTGTCTAAGATGAAACCGCTTTGTGTGTGCATGCGTGTTCATGAGTTTCTGAAGATTGTGGTAGAAACAGAGTATCCCCTTTCCTATAGCTGTAGTTGGTCATTTTTATGTATTTCTGTGTCTTGTATCTATATATTTATAGATGAGTTCTGTCTTTCCATAGTACAATTTTATGCTCCTTAAGGATACATTGAAAGAAATGTCAAAACAGCAGCTGCAGTGACATATTTTCCACAGTGCCCTGTCAGTTGTGGACTCTGGTGATGCTTCATTCTGTCTGTAGTTAGGATAACTAACGTGGGCTCTAGCTAGAATTTTTGTTTTATTCCTCTGCCCTTCTCTGCTGGCTCTGTATAGATGAAACAGAGTCTGAGTGAAACTGTGTTCATGTTAAATTTTTTGTGAGTAGTGTTTTTGATTTCTTTGTTTGAAGATTCACCCTTTTCCGTTGGGTGAGCTATTTGTTCAGTTTGAAATTTAAATAGTGTTAGAAGTATGTAAAGATGCAGAGATGTATATAAATGGAAAAATATAGCATGTTTCTTACACAGATGTTACAGCTTAATTTTTTTAACATAACTAAAGCTGTTGTTATGTATACTAATGATGCTCTCGATATTTTTAAAAGCATTTTAATTAATGAAGTAATATAAATATTCTGATAGGATTGATTATAAATATTTTCTTTTATTAGTGGTCAAGTAGGTTCTCGAAGTCCTTCTATGATTAATAATGATTCTGAAACCTTAGAAGAGTGCATGGTGTGCTCAGATATGAAGAGAGATACTCTTTTTGGCCCATGTGGACATATTGCTACCTGTTCTTTATGTTCTCCACGAGTCAAGAAATGCCTCATCTGTAAAGAACAAGTTCAGTCCAGGACAAAGGTAATATATTTTTAATACAGTTTTTTATCATTTTATGAAGTTCTTTCAGACTATAAATAATGATAAGATTATATGATGCCCCTATGTCTGTTAAATTTCGGTCTAAGTGATTTAAATATAAGAATGTATAATTTATATATTTATCAAGAGAACAATTTTTTGAGTTTCCTCCTTTAAATGTAAACTGTAGAAGTTAAAAATAAAATTGATCTACTGTTTTGCTTTCAAAGCCTCCTATAACCTAGAGATGTATTTAATTCCGTTTTTATTGTAGTTACTTATATTTTGCACCTTTCTTGAGTACATGGACCCTCATATTCATCTTTATAATAAAGACCACTTGATTTTTTTTTTGGTAGAATGTCATACATTCTGGATTTGATTGTTTTATCACAGTATTAATATGTTTCTTTATCCTCTGTGTTTCCTGTAAACTGGAAGTGAGATCTAACAGCTTGATTAGAGTCAGCTTAAACATTTTTGGCAAGAAATTCTTACAGATGATGTTACTCACTTTGTATTGTGTCCCACCAAGAAGCAAATAAAGTCTGATCATCATCCTGCTGTTATTGAAGGCCAAATTCTATATCCACTCTGAACTTTATCTTGTCTGACTCTTGGCTTTTTGAGAAGTATTATTCTTTTCTTGGTTTCTGGTTTCATTCTTTTTCTGTGTAACTTAGTGCTTTATCATAACTGTACCGTCTTGCCCATTTTGGTTGTACTGAAATAATTGATTTTCCTTTTTAGTTTTTCCATATGTGTGTGTAAAGTGAGATTTAAGTTTCTTACAAATGATTTCTCTTAAGGTGAGTGGCTTAAACCAAGAGATATGTTTGGTTTTCTTTGGTTTCATTTATGGAATTTATACTCTTTTTTCATTCCCTTCTTTTTATTCTCATTTCCCCCTGATGTTTCTTAAGCTATTCATTTACCTTCATTAATTAGAAAGGAGCTGGCACTAATTCTTATAATAAATTAGCTGGCAGTGACTTAAAAGGTGTTACCTTGCCAGTGCTTTGTACATTTTCATAAGGAACGTTCTAAGACTGGGAGACTGTTCCTTCTAAGGAACAGTTTGGGAACGAATCTGAAAGAATTTAAGCCATTTTCTTATTTTTAGATTGATCTGTGTATTCTGCTGTTGTGCTTGAAACTTTTTGTGTTGGATTAAGCCCTATTTCAACAAATCTTTATTGAGCACTTGTTTTGTAGTGAAGACAGAGGTGTATATGATAATTCCCTACTAAAAAATTGTAACCTGCTGGTAAACTATGACTTAGATTTAAAGCTACTCTGCCATATAGGATGTTGTAGGTGCTTTAAGAGAGATATAAAGTGAGTTCAGAGCCCCAGGTTACCTGCCAGAAGCAGAGTCTCAGATACAGAATAGCCCTTACTGGTCTTCTAGTCCAACTCTGGGATTCACAGTTGAAAAAACTGAAGCCCAGAGAAGTTTACTCAGAGTACCAAACACAGGTCTCTTAATCTTAAGTCCTTATTCTTTCCCCTGTGTGATGATACACAGACACAATTAAAGAAGTGTCTTCAGAGGGAAGATTGATGGAACAGGGAGGTAGAGAGGGAGGAGTATGCCGTCATTTCGCTTTAGACCACTTTTGAATTCCAAGAATTAGTAGACTGTCAGTTTGACTTTCAGATTAAGAAATTTTCAAACCTGTAGAAAAGTACAAAAAGTAACATACCCACCAAATAAATTTGCCAGGTTAGCTGCAGAGCCTTTGAATATAAAGAAATAGTGACCCCAAGTGGTTAAAGGATAATGAACATCTTCATTAAAGATAAAGCAAATTATAAAACTAGTATTTAGAGGAAGGGGGATAAACAAGCTTTGTCTCTTTAGCAGTTAAAGAAATGTAAATTAAAAATTATGAATTACCATTAACCATTCCTATCAAATTAGCATAAATTTTAAAAATGCTAGCCAGGAAAGTGGAAAATGGACACTCTTTTAAACACTGCTGGAGGTTGAATAAATGGATTCATGTTTTTGAGAGACCATCCTGACAATATTTATGAGCCTTTACGATAAACATGCTCTTATTTAGTAATTCCATTCCTGGGAATATAACCTGGGGAAAAAATCCAAAGGGGAAAAAAGTTAAGACTACAAAGATTTTTTTCACTTATATATTAGGGGATTTGGTAAGTAAATGATTGTTTAATCAATTTGCTAAATTATTTTAAACTCTTTATGAACAATTCAGATGTATAAACAGTTGCAGTGGAAATCTTTTAAAGAAATAGCACATCATTATATAGAGAGGAAAAGAGAATTATCATGCATTGGACACTGATATTATATTAGGCATTGAACTAAACACTCCAGGCATAATATCTGATTTACCCTTTACTACCCTGTGAAGAAAGGTTGTTCTTTATCATTCAGATAAAAAGAGCTGTGGCTCAGCAATGTTAGATAATTTAGATAATAGATTAGATAATAATTATTGGAGCTGCAGTTTGAATCCAGGAATATAAAGATCTTGACCCTCCGTGTCTTACTGCTTTCCCCTGTTACTCAACTACAGAAATTCTATGTACATAGCAAGGTATAAGTTGGGAGAGTCCATAGAGAGCATGTGTGCAATATTTGGTTAGTTAGGTGAAGTTATAGGTGACTGGTGGTCATCATTTTTGGACAGTGATATTAAGTGGCACAGATATGGGTAAGTGTGAATGTGTGTCAGAAGAGAGGAGAACAGGTGAAAGATGGATGCAAAGCAAGGGCAGTGGGATGGGTGGGGGTGGACAAGCCAAGAGCCAGGTTAAGAAGTAGCTACGCACTCAAAACTCAGATCAAGTGGAGATGAAGAGGAGGTAAAATTGAGGGAAATTATGAATATGTTGTGGAAGACTTGTGGCTTTAGAGATCCTAGGGAGAAAGAACAGCCCAAAGCCATGAGCTCCCCACCAGTGTGGGGGAACTGACCAAGTCCTGGAAAAGTTCCTCTGATGTGGATAAACAGAAAAATTCCACTTGGGCTCTAGCAATCTACTAATCTGGCTGGGTTTTTATTAATATTAGAAATCTAGCTTATCTTACATTTATTTTTATACTTCTTTGTTTTTAAATTTTTTCTGTCACAAAGTAGTTTTGAAAAAAAATTAAAGTCTATTTTGGTCTTTCTGACCACAGAGAAAATGGAGGGTTTTTTTAATTTTTTTTTAAAGATTTATTTATTTATTTGAGAGAGAGAGAATGAGAGAGAGCAAGCACAAGAGAGGGGGGAGGGTCAGAGGGAGAAGCAGACTCCCTGCCGAGCAGG